AAAAAAAAAAAAAAAAAATAGGAAGAACAAATTGGAATACACTACAAAGAACCTCCTGAAGACAAAAAAAGGGTGCAAAAACTAGATACAAACTCATAACAATTTCTTACAATCCTAGGCACCCGTTCCAACTACACCCGAAAAAGAAGAGAAAGAAAAGGAAAAAAAAAAATGATACAAAAGAATTAGCTGATTCGTATTGACAGAAAATGGCAAGAGATTTATTACTACCTCAAAATCTTGGACTCGAGATTCGTAGAATTTGACTCCTCGGTCGGGAGCGGCTTCACGTACTTCCCGAGCACCCTTTGATGCGTTCGTTTCCTAATCCGTTGGATTTTATCTTTGCTGCGTTGTCTTTTCTTTTCCTTCTCTTTATTTCTCATATTCCTCTCCTTTTCGTAAATCCCTTGCCAGAATATTTCACCAGTCGACGGCCAGAGCCAATGCCTTTTCGGGCGGTCAGAGTCGAACTCCTCGGCTAAATCCTCATCCATGGTCTTGAGGGTGGAGAACTGGAACCATTTGACCCACATTTGACCTTTTCGACCTTTAAGGTTGTGCTGTTCTTGCATGAGACCTGTCTCGGGGTCAACATAAACCATCCGTCTTGCGCTATGGTATGCCCAGACATTCACGAGAAGCTCCAGCAAACGAGAGTAACAATGCTTGTCCTGCCCATAGTGTGTGTATACATTTAAGAAGAAAGAAATGTAGGATAATTATGTAAAAACTACTATCACCCCTAAGGTCTGAACTCTGAAGTGTGAGTGTATGTGAAGTGTGAGTGTGAGATTCTGCCTCAAGTTTAAGGGGCAAATCCGTAAATGTAATATGTTTATGAATGTAAAGTGAGGCTTTCTTAATGCTTTTGCACATGAAATGGAGAGTAGTTTGACAATTAGGTTGAAGCACGAGGGCAATATTTGTAATGGTTACTTAAAGAAGCAAGAAAATCGTGATATCTCAACTTTATGATCAGCCAATGTATAGGAAGGTTATACCTTGGATAAACTGAGAGGACATCGCCCGTTTTTCTGGTGATCGTCATAGAATTTTGCATCGAGTGCATCCACAAACATTCTGAAGATGGAAAATACAGTTCACTTGGCATCACATAATAATAACAAAAAAATAGCAGGCAAAAAGGGTAATAGAGAAAGAGGAATCGAAGTCAGAACCTTGAAAACATAACAAACTCCATGAAGGACTTAGTCGGTAAAACCCAGGAGTGCATGACAGACCAAGTGCCTCCTTCAGAAGGCATTGATGGAAGAGAAGTCAAGTTATGCTTTATGCCGTACATCTGCTTTAGAGCCTCAGTAAACACAAACCTAAAGACAATTACACGCGTATTAGGGGAGAGAGAGAGAGAGAGAGAGAGAGAGAGAGAGAGAGAGAGAGAGAGAGCACCAACAACAACAGTAACAATAATATGAAATATAAAACTAATTAGGTCAAACATCCTCTTATCAAAAACCGGCAAAACTTTTAGTCATAACTGAAGATGAACCGGGAATTCGAAGCTAATGAAGTCTTTGTAAATTAGTCACATTGTTTATTCACTTCAACTTGTGCTAAATGGAATCCTGAAAAAAAGGATGAACTTTTGACAAGAGAAAACTTACCGACAATTCCCAGCATTAATAGCATCACAAAATGACCAAAACTCCTGTTTTAAAGGGTTTCTCTGATCCATGTCAAAACGAGCCCAGAAGTACAATGTGTCCCCATGCCTTCGTGCTTCGATAGCATCCAACAATGATCTTTCAGCAGTTTTGGACAAAGATTTCTGGTAAATCAATAATGCCAGACATTGTTATTTCTTCAAGTAAATTTTATTGAAACAAAGTCTAGATTGCCATGAGTAACATGCATCACTATATTTTTTTTTTTTCTTTTTTGGAGGGGGGGAATCATGTGGTTAATCTAGACAGGGACAAAGCAGTAATTTCTGACCATTCTTGCAGTAGCTCTCCAAGATTGAAATCCTATCCAAGCATTCTTGTGAATGCGGTCGACACGGTTAGCGATTGCGAAAAATGCACCATATTCTCCCAAGACCTCTCGATAGTAAGCATTGTTCAATAGAGGGAGACGTGAAGGAGCATCAATATCATCAGCCCCTTGCCTTCGACCTTTTGTAGACTGCAAAACCCATCCAAATTTATTACATTCGCATCAGATTAACAGGCAAGAAATATTGCACTTTTCCTGAACATTAAAAGTTTTAAATGTACAAAATCGAATTTGCATCATTGCATGTCACTTGTTTAATGGTTAAAATTACAACATCAGCCTTCAGGTTGAACTTCAATACATGTTTAAAGTAATCATTAAAAAAACTCTTTATTTTTCACGAACATTACAGCTTTTTGAGGTTTATATTTAAAATATTTTGAGGTTCTCACCAGCCCAAGCCCTCTATATAGTGAAGTATGGTGCAAAAAGGGCCATGTCCCAACTCCAAAGTAAGGTTCGTAGATACACAATGGTTGACCAGTTCTTTCAAGTTCTCCCTCATCTCTTTCGTGTAATGACCGATCTGCCCTCCTGGCATTTCTATACACATCATCCCACGTTCCCCGTGGTTGATCTGTCCTATCCTTCAACTGCATTTAGTTTCCAAGTGTTAAGAAGAAAAAAGAAAGAACAGAAAATAAATGCCAAAAATCAATACCAGGAGATTTAGTACCATACTCTTCCTTGGAGATAACTATATTAACTACCATTGAGGTTTAGCCTAATTACAGTATAGTTCAATTATCTCTTAAAATTACAAGAACTCCTTGAAGTGCTACACATACTCCTGTGAGGCTACCCCAACAGATGCTCACATTTAACAAGAAGTGACGTTTTGGATCATCAAATTATTTTTCGAAGACTGATGTTTTTAACATTCTCAAAACCTGTGCCCTAAATTGCCATTGTACAAGTTGACTCATTTACTAATATCAATTAACTTGGGGTATTTTAACAGATTCCTTAACATGTGCACTCTTTACTCAACAACTCAATTGTTAAACTAGAGGAGGTGTGTTTCCTTGTAATTAAACTAAACCTCTGGAGGAGTTCTAAAAGTAGTTCTAGCAACTAACCCTAAGAATGAAAGCACACAACCCAAACCCACAAAAACTAACCTCTTCATCCTCTCTCCTCTTTCGCATTGTGATCGTATCTATATACTTTTGCTCTTCCCATATCGCGTACGAGAACGCCTCACCGGAAGCCACCACATTCTCTCTACCAGAATTGTTGAATTGCTTCTCGATTCTATCCAAAATTTCGGTCCCGTCTCGATAAAGAGAATCATTACCTCCGATTGCATCAAAAAGATGCCACTGCCATTCGGCTTTCAGCTTTTTAGGAATATTGTTGGGAGCTTTGGGAACAGCAACCTCAGAGGGTAGAGAGAGAATGTTTTCGAGTAGGGATGCGTATCCTTCAACACTTTCGGAGGCCATCAGGTTCTTAGCTGTACTTTTCCCCATTGATGCTATATTGGTGGATAAGAGAGAGAGCTTTCCGTTTGAGACGGCTTGAAATGCAATCTGAGTGAGAAAACTCGTGTCGTCCTTTGGGAAAATATAGCCATTTACCTTATCACTGACCTAAGGTTGCCAATAATATCATGAGCAAGTCAGCTTTGACTTTAATGGGAAGTCAAGATTCCATGAATAATAATGCATACTACAGATACTTACATATTTTCTTATTGTTGGTAGATCCGGTGCTATTATAGGCTTGCCCAGGCACATGGCTTTCAGTAAAATGTTGGGAAAAGAGTGATCATCAAGAAACGATCCGTATATCACAAGATGTGCAGTTCGTATAACAGTATCGGTGTTTTCATTAACAGGAACATGCATCACTGTTTCCTTTGGATATCCCATTTTCAGAGATAAAGTCTGAAGCAATTTTGTCGAATTAGAAGACATGGAACATTATGAATAACATTTGAAATTAGTAAATTACATTAACAATACTATTATAGTGTCTGATAAAGAGGAGGAGTTGAATTACTATAGCTTACTTACTGAAAGATAATCGTTGGTCATGTAAAACTCCTAATAAACCCCTTGAAGATTTTGTTTCAGCAGATGTGATTTAATTAACTAGAAGTGATAATTATGAAAACTACCCCTGCATTTAGAGTTTACAAGAAGAAGACCAGAGAAGTTCTGAACTAAAAAGATGAGGTTCGATTTGTGATATCTTTATAAATGTAGGAGGGGTATTGGAACTTCTTTTTGCTTATGTAGGTAGAACATAAGATAAAACACATCTCAAGGACTTCCTCCGTAATTCCGAATTCTGCAAGTTTTTTGTACCACAAACCACAGGTGAGGTTTTAGTAAGCACCTTCATAAAATAAAAACAAAAAGAAAAGTCGTAGGAAGGGTTGTTAATTTTAAAGATTAAATGGGTCATTTTGTAATAGACAAACCTAAAGGGAAATTTTCGTACTTCAACTTGTAAAAGGAAATAAGGACTATTGTAAGGATAGACTACAGTGTCTACTGATATTAAATACACATATCATACAAATACTCAAAGAGGATAATAATAAACTTTTCTCACCTCCACGATTTTGCTGTAGTTACCAGTCGAATCTCCAGTCGAGACAGTGATTTTAAGACGGGAACTCGAGTCCCGTAAGTCCGTAAAAAGCGGATGCAAAGCTTGTAAGACAAAGGCATGCTCGAGCCACATGCCTTTATATGATAACTGGCTCCCCACAATTGCAATAACAATATCATTGGGTTCGTACTTCATTTTTTCCAGACCCGAACTATCTTTCATTGAAACAATTTGCTTATCAGCTCTCCAAGCTTCTTCGGGGGAGCCCTGGATGACAAAGTAGTTCCCAGGGTCGCAAGTCGAATAAGCTATCTGAAATAAATTTGAGAAACACAATTAATATCAACTAAAAATTATTATCATTAGACTTTCACCATGAATAAAGGCAGTGCCAATCCCCACAACCTCTTCACAATGTGTCTTTAAATTATGGGCATAAAGAAATCAGCTCAGTTCATACTTCATTAAATTGAACTAAAAATTTTGAAGTGCATTATGCATAGGTCAATAACAAGAGAAAAAGAAAGTTTACCGGCAGAACATAGTTCGGGAAGATAATAACAGTGGCCCTCGAGAAGACCTTGCTCCAGGTATTGACCATTTCATTTTGACCACTCAAAACATAATGTCTCAATCGAGTAGCAAGTGTGTGTTCATGGATGGTCCACAAAAGCGGGACGTTTTTAAAAGGTTCCTGCATGAGACTGTAACAAGTAAAACCTTTTATTTTTTGGCAAAAGGATTTCGTCAACAAAAGCAGGTGAACCTTCATAATTATTAAATTAATACATTGTAAGACTTAAAACTGTTTCTCGTCACTTCAGCATATCTTAGCTTCAACGCTTCACAGATAGATATAAACAAATAATTTCTTATATTGTAACCATATACTTGATAAAAAAAATGCACATAAAAATATAGAACAAAAAATTAAGGGGAAAAAACGCCAAACTACACGAGAAAAATAAATGGGTCCAGCAAGGTGTTAAGGAAAATGAAATAGATATCACATAAAGCTAATGGATGGATTCGAAAGGTAAATTTGACCTTTCAAAAGAACAAAATTAAAGCCACGTTATATAGAGAGGAATGCAGGATGATATGACATTGCTTACCAAGACAAGAATCCAGCAGCATCAAGAGAATTCACGAGGACACCATCATAGCTGCAAAGAAGAAAAATAAGATTAGAAATTATAAAAACTAAATTTACTATTCATGATTAGCCTTAAATTATTTTTTACATTACCTACGGTAGCTCATACTACCTTTCATAAACTAACATAAAGCCATAGCATGTATGCAATAATATACACTTAATAACAATAAAAAAAAAGGGGGGCTACCCAAATAAATTAAGTACCCATAATATTTAGAGTGAAATTACTTAGATAAACACTATTAAGTATGCAGCTAAATGAGCAAACCACAAAGTAAACAAACAAATATGAGCATTTTGTGATAAGAGAGTGTTGAGATTGGAATACACTAAGAAGAATATATATTGAATATATATTCCATTATGTGCTGAAGTTCCTCATCGATAGCATTAAAAGAATGACCAGAGAGATTGAGTGTTAAGGTTATTTATCAAAAAAAAAAAAAAA